GAGTTTAATTTTACGATCCTTATTGTAATCTCATTTGTATTACTGTAATCTGGTGCCCTGCATGAGTAGAGGTTGGTTGTTTGGAATATATGCTTTTCCTGTCTTCTTCTTCTTCTTCTTCTTTTTTTTTTAACTAAAATATGATATAATTTAACATAACATCCTATTTTAATAGGATAAAATTGACTGATTTTTTGCCAAATGTTGTTCTACTCCCAAGTAGACTGTTGTTTCAACAGATGCAGAAAGAATTAAATGCAAGATAGAGCTTATATAAATATATAAATGATTGCAGATGACAAGTCTAGATACAGTATTTACAATAGTAAACGTCCATTGATATTAATAGTAACCTGAACAGCAGTGGCCTCAAAATCCATGGCAGGACAAGAAGCAAAATAAGACCAACCTGTATAAAAAAAGAATAAAATTACAAACACAGTAAAAACATGAGAAACCTGGCGGGGCATCTTATCTCTTAATAAATACATATTTGTTTCTTTTTAGATATTCTAAGCTCAGTTACTGTATTCTTTTACTTTTCTCGGGGAAACCCTGCAAGAGAGTATCCAGTTTTTTAAGTACAATGTTTTTCCAAACTATGCTGACCCAGCTATTATATAAAGGAGGGAAAGCTTTATCAATGGGAATTCAAGCAATTTAACTGAGGGGACACTGAATTAAAAAAGAAGTTGGGTCAGGGCTAAGTTTTACCTTAAGCATGTAAACAAGATGTTTAGGCTAAAGGGAGATCTGGACAGGACTAAGACATGTGGTTGGCTAGAGACTGCTGACATCTACTGCAACTGATGTAATAGATGTCAAAAGCTACAAATCCATCTCCCATATCCAATAAATATATTTGTTTCTGTTTTAAACAGCTGTAATCTTCTGCTTTTTTTGTTTTAAGAAAGAATTAAGCTTAAGCGTAAATTCAATGCAGAAGACTCTTAACACCTTCATCTGAACCACCTGCAATGTTCAGCTCCATCCAATCAACTTGGGGCCGCACCTTCTCCGAAGGGCTAGATGATAGTCCGACAGATTTGCTTTCCCAAGTAGACCAAGGATAAACTTCTGAAAGTGTCCTGCAATTATTTTTTAGGTTTTAATCATTAAAAATGTTTTTGTTTTTTTTACAATAATTTCATTGTATATATCCATCCATCAATTCATCCCTTTTCTTCTGCTTTATACAAGACAGGGTTGCTAAGCAAAGATGCCCAGACTTCCTGATCCACACACATTTCATCCAGCTGCTCTGGGGAGACCCCGAGGCGACACCAGGCCAGCTAAGTGACATAGTTCCTCCAGCGTGTCCTGGGCCTTCCATGAGGCCTCCTCCCAATAGGACATGCCTGGAACATCTCCCGAGGAAGGTGACCAGGAGGCATATGGAATAGATACCCGGGCCACCTCAGCTGGCTCCTTCCGACATGGAGGAGCAACGACTCTACTCCGACCTCCTCCCAGGTAATGAAAATGAAAAAAAAAATTTATTTAATTGAATTGAAGTGTCCACCATAACCATAATTTACTTACACTAGTATTACCTGATAAAGCTCACAATTTCCATTCTATGCACACTTATAAACGGGAATAATGATTTTTTTTATTTAGCTTCTTAATCACTAAATAGATCCTCCCTTAATGTAAAACAGCATTCAGATAAATGACACACATGTCAACAATTTAATAAATAAATGGGGGGGTATTTTTCCTTAGAAGTTACACCTGCTTAAAGAACATTAAGCCCTTTTCTATTGCGCATTAATAGGGTTTTGAACTAGCACCATGCATTACTAACACTCTCATTACACGTGCAGGAGATTTCCTGATATTGTTTGCAATCCGGTAATATCTGTTGGCTGCAGGTTAACAAAGGAGTTTTCTAGAAATGAGCAACCTTTGGCTTGCAGGTCAGACTTTGTTGAATGAGATGATAAAGATCAATAATTCTAATGAAGTGTTACTCCATAACATGTTTAACAGAAATCCTGATGGGAGGTACAACGTGAGCTGCTGAGAAATGTTTTGCTGGAGAATCGTTTCAGGAAAGGGTGGAGAAGGATTACAATCTATGAAGCAAATTCAATTGTTTACAAACTGGCATCCTCCTCACCAAATATGGTCGAATAATCAGATAACTTGGAATGAAATGAAGACTTGATTTAGAAAAATACCAACATTCTGCTGTAGATTTCAAGGAGGAGGAATTACAATTAAGGCCATTAACCTTCAGTTATTTGGGTGAAATAACTGCTCTTAGGTTTACATTTAATGTTGCATGATGTTCTCTCTAGAAAAGATGCTTAAAGACCTTTAAACTGATAAGGACATCTATGATAGAGCTAAGTGGATGGCATAAGCGGAATTCTCTTATGATGACACATTTACAATGTGGAACATCATGGTATATCTCAAAGCACATCTCCCATGATCCTTTGACTAAATTACCAGGGATGCAAAAAATGTTGTCAGATATAAAACACCGGTTTGTCAAAAATGTTTTTTTAGTAATCCTGTCATTATCTTCATAGCACAGCAGTTCAGTGATTTGATCACTGATTTACTCACTTATTGGCACTAATATTTAATGCAGAAGAATTAAAACATCTCAACCCAGCACTCCTACTTTGTTTATTAAATAAGAACAGAGGACACTTAAAGCAATGACCGTAGGCAGGAATCTCAAGTGTTTCTAAGTTTGCATTTTCATTGGCTCCCCTGCTGGTTGTCTGCCTTAGGCCTACAGTACCTCTAATAACATGCAGTTTGAGTTTAGTGTCTACTCTAAAGATCATTACATGCAGAAGCCAAAATCGTACTTGTCACTTGAGGCTTTTACAACTTCTTTCTTTCTTTGTCTTAAGTTTTTAGTTTATTACAGTTTCCCATATCATGTCCTGCAAGTCAAAGACTCAAAGCAATTAACTGGTTTTCCTTGACAAAAACTTTTAATCAGTCTGCCTTTATTGTATCTGTAAAGTGTCTTGAGATTAAATGTGTTGGGAATTGGCACTATATAAATAAACTGAATTGAATATCCATAATGTGGAAGTTGAGGAATGTTACATACCGAACACCAGACTCAACGATCAAAATATCCAGTGGTGATATTTTCACGTGAGTCTGACATAGTGGGAAAATTGCAAATCTTCTTTAGGAAAGTTGGCTTGTATGAGCGATGAAAACAGAAACTTTTAAACAGAGTGTTCACGAAGAGAAATAGGGTCGTGCATGCTCTTGCACGTGTTTTATAGACCCTCGTGAGAAGGTGCATGGTTGTGTATGTGCATTTTTTTTAAGTGTAGGGGACATCAAAAATTCGCAAAAATCCTCCACTATATCTTTAAGTTAGCAAAGATTTTAAATTGCTACAACTTTCACCTTAACAGTTATGAAACTAAAGTGAAAAACTTAATTCAGGATCATCTCTCATCCAGTCTCCCTCTGGTGCTTTATTACTACAGGTCTATCAGGCCTGTGCCGCATCTCTGCCAGAGCCAATCATCATCTAGAACTCTGCTGCACTGTTCCACCAATGGCATTTCTGCACCATGGAACTGCAACCCTCCTCAACCCCGTCTCTGCTATCATCCTTGTTTTCATCTGTTTACTTTCCTCCTTTGGCCGCCATTCCAAATCTAGTGTTAGGCCTCTGGTGGGGACGCGTACCCATCCTAATTCACTCATTCAATCATGACATCACAATTCTTAACGCTTACGTTTTCCACCAGGGTCTTAACAAAGGTTATATTTCTCACATCAATAAAACCCTCTAATTGTTGCTTGGCTTCTGTTTTTATTTCCAGGTTGAAACGTGTGTTCTATATGTTTTACTGAACCCAAACATTGCTTTAGAAATAGTTTGATTGTTTAACAGACTAAAGAATGGGCCTTTAGGTGTTTGCTGTTAGAGGGGTGCGAAGTTTACTTGCTAAAGCCTTACCATTTAATTTTATATGAACAGACAAATATCACATTTCAGGCACTGCAAGGCCCTGTTCCCAGAACATTATTATTAATAATTACAGAATATTGTCCAACTGGTTAACATATAAAAGTATGACAACATATCTTACCATATATGTTGATGTCCGGCAGCATTACAGCACTGAATCACTACTTGACCTAAGATTTAACTTCCATGTTCCCAATGAGTAAGTGTGCTTATGATATCAATACATTTTTGAATCAGAACTTCCTCATTATTTTATGCAGAAAAGGCAAAGGCATTGTTTTTAATCCTTAAAAATACAAGATTAGAAACTTCTGCCCAAATAGAATGAATGAAGATACTTTAACACTCCAGAAACTTTTCTTTATTAGACAGATCTAAATGTTAACATCAGGTAAATGAGTCTTAGCAAACTCCATAAATCACAGTTATGAAAGATCTGAACACAAGATATGAACACAGTTCCTACTCTAAATAATAGAGTTATAATAAATAAATTCTTGAACAAAAATGTTAAGAACCCGTTTTTCCACTTTAATTAGGATTTAATCCAATTTAGTTTATTTATAAAGTGGCAATTCACTATAGGCTATATGTCTCAAGGCATTTTTCACAAATAAATAGAAATAAACTGAAAAAAACATTATTTGGTTTGGGTTTTCCTATGGTTACTATTGTTTTAGCAATGGTTATTACATCTTTTAGAAATAAAAACTTTCTCTTTTTCATACATTTGTTGGATATTTATATTTAAATTTTACGCAAAGCTTCATTTATACCATTATTAATTTTATGACTTGAAGAGGCTACTGTGGTTTTCTTTCCTATAAACAAATAAATAAATGTTTTCATTACTGTCTGCTTAATTATTTTATCATTTTAGATATTACCAATGAATTCATCTGATAAGAAGTGCTCAGAACATGTTTACATTTACTCAGCATCCGCTGCAGCTGATGAGCCTCCCATGCGTCATGCGTCATGCGCCTGGAGCTATAAATAAAGGAGTCCAGCTGCGCGCAGCAATTAGAGCATCCTTTAGAGGACAGACACTTCAGTCAATAAGCAACCACTCACTTTAATATAGTCTGTAACATTTTTTAGCTGAGCTCCAAGTCCTTTGGTTTTATTGAAATCATCTGCTGTGCTTTCATTTGGGTAGAATGGCAAGCTTTGGACTGCAGGTCGCTGGTTTTCTTATCTCCCTGGTTGGAGTCTCTGCAACTATTGCCGCCACTTTCATGGTGGAGTGGGGGAAACAAACTCAAGGAAAAAATCCTGTCTATGACGGTTTGTGGATGAGCTGCAGTGGCACCGCGGAGAAAAGCAACTGTGAACTTTACAAGCATATATTGAAAGTGCCAAGTAAGTATTAACCTGCTGATTGTGTCTCCTTAAAATGTGCTCCTGGATTAAAATTGTTTTCTGTTTTGTGTGCAAAATAAATTTGACTGCAAATGTATATGTATATGTCTTTATATATATAAAAAAGAAAACATTCTACCTTTCTGTTCCTGCAGCTCATATCCAAGCGACAAGATCAGTGATGCTGGTCAGCCTCTTCCTCTCTGCCATGGCGCTCATATCCTCAGTATTGGGGATGAAGTGCACCCGTTTCATGGAAGCTGTACCTCAAAGCAAAGTGAAAGCAACTATCGTTGGAGGGATACTGTTTATCATTTCAGGTAAATAAGATGAATATGGCCTTTTTATAAATATATCACACTTGAACTTTGGGGGCTGGTGATGAATGTTTAACTTCTATTATTGTTAAATGTCTCTTGTCATGCGATGTTGAATTAATCTAAAATAATTTAAGGCCCATTTGGAAAACTAATTGTGCTGTGAATTAGTTTGAAATTACATTTTGAGCCAATTTAGTATTGCTTTGTGTGCATCAGCTTGCAGGTAAAGATGACTTTAAACTGCTACTGTCTGAGTGCACTGAATAATAGGCGACAGCCTCTGATCAAAAGATGCATTAAAACTGATTAAATTAAAACTGCAAAATATCTGTGTCCAAAAGATCGCTTTTTTTATTCTTAATGCTCTAGATAAGCTGTTTAAATACAGGTTTTTTTTTTTATTGAGCAGCATAAGGGAAGTATGTGTGTTTAGCTGGTTGGTGTGGCTAGACAGAGGGTTTGCCCTTATGCAAGAAAATCACTTGTCTATGTAAAAACATACTATCTTGTTTTTCCAATTTTTAAGCCAAATGTTTTTATAGTAATTGACAAAATGAAATACGATAAAATAAGAATAAATAACAGCTTTGAAATCCTCATTCAAGTGGAAGGTTATTTATCAAAATGCATATTTAGCAAACCAATACAATGTGATAAATATAGGATTGAATAGAGCTGGATAACATGAGTGGAAGTAAATCACTTTTTTAGCGTAACTGTACAGGAAACTATGACAACAAAATGATGACATTTTAGGGCTAGGAAATCTGTGACAACATTAAAAAAATCCCCACATTGTGAGGAAACACACAGCTGACCAACTGATTAACTCTGTTAGGGATGCTGTGTCAGCATGCTTATTCTAAAAGTTTTCCCCTGTTCTAACTTTGTTTGAGCTCAGTAGCTATAAAGTAAGAGACACAAATAGAAAAATTAAAGCATCATCAAAGAAAAAAACTCCCTTCTATGATTTAAAAAAAAGAAAGAAGGGAAAAACGACTATTGTCAAAAAGATTGTTGCAAAGTGGTAATTCCATTTCTTAGGCAACTGTGGAGATTAAAGCTGCTATTTTACCTACAAAAAACATTTTAAATGCATTTGCATGAAAGTATCACCTCTAACTTGCAGTTTGTTCCTATTTGCTTTTGTTTTCTTTTTATTTCTATTCTCTGACAATAATGATTAATTAATTAAATTTGAGAATTAGTTTTTTGTAACAAATCTTTCCCTTTCTTAGGTCTTTTAACAATCATCATCACCTCCTGGTACATCAGTGTGGCTGTTGAGACCACACATTCTCTAATAAAGTAAGTATATCCAGAGAAGAGTGATGGATTAACAACCTGATAAACACACATGCATCTAAATCTGTGTATGTCCTTTGCAGCAAAGAATTTGGTCACGCAGTGTTCGTCAGCTTGGCGGGTGGATTCCTGACTGCTCTGGGTGGAGTCATCTTGAGTCTTCGGAGATGTGGGGGGTCCAGAGGGTCAGCCGAGTCCATAAGTACCAATCAGCTTCTCACCACTAAAAACATAAAGGACAATTATGTCTAACAGGAAAGCTTGGACCCCCACATCCCACTGTGAGATAACTATCCATAGTGGCATTATCCTCCATTCCATGATGTAAAAATGTGAAAAATGCAATACTCAATGTAATTTTCTTTTGTAAAAGTTGATTTCTAAAGTGTGAACTTTTCTAAGATTATATGGATCTTCTTTGCTTTCTACTTCGACCTTATTGTTTTGTAAAGATGACTGCAAAGACTGTTCAGTCTCACACTGGTGTCATTAAACTGTAATTATGCTATGCATTTGTTACCGCTTATTCTTATGTTTTTAGTTTTGTACATTAAATGGTTGCTTCTAATATTTATGTATCAGTTGGCGCTGTACAGTATATCAGTAGGAAAGGCTATATAGCTTAAAAATTCAAATTTTTAAAGGAAAGCATTCACTTTCTAACACTGAAATTAAGACAAAACTGTATTTTCCTGCATTATGAGTGCCTCGCTTTGTCATTTTATATTGATGTAGTGAAAAAAATCACACTCATTTTTGCTTTAACGATTCCATAAACAAGACTGCTTTGATTTTCTGATTATATGCATGAATTTAAGCAGGCCTGTAATATTTCTCAGTGTCCTTTTGTCTTGTTCAAACTCTTCTTAATAGCTGTGTGTCAATGTTGTACTTATGTTCATGCATTTCATTTGCTTCCTTAAACACGGCCAGTGGACTTTCTTTTTATTAACTCTATTGTCCTGTTTTATATAAATCTATCAAATCAAATGCCTTGTCTCTTTAGTCACAATTATTTTAGAGAGTTTTCTTTTTAAATCAATCTCCTTTATGATAAATGTCTGACAATCCTACATGCCATATTTATAAAAACATTTCAAATCTTACAAACAATTAGAAATTAAACAGTGGAACGGTGGTGTAAAGCAGTATGACCTTATGGTTAACTGCTGTAAAAATGCAGCAAAGATCTAGGTACTGTAAGAACCCATGTACCAGCAATCAGGGCTTTTCCCACAGTGAAACAGTTTCCTTCCTGTAATTTGTATTGTTATTTTAACATCTCCATACTACAGTACATGTTATCTACGTACATCCAAATGAGTTGGGCTATTAGAGTAAAAACAAGATTGCCAGCATGACCCACTTTCGTTTAGACGTCCGAGCACCCAAAACAGAAAACGTGAAAATAGTAGAAAACACGATAAGTAGTCTTTAAAAAAATGTTGCAAAATTAATGCATTATTTTTGGATTACAAAAAAAATATGTAAAACAGTGAAAACAAAAATACAAACACTGTTAAAAAAATGTTTTTCAGGTTGCAATTAATATTCAGAGTCAGATTAAAACTTTGTGTAAAGAGATTAGAGAATAAAAATTATTTCAGGCCTCTTTAAACTGGCCTAAAAAGTGTCCCTAAAAGTTACAGTATCTGTGATATTTCCTTTGCTTAAACAACAGACCTCAGGGGGTTTGTTGTGCTTTCAGCAGATGAAAGCAACATGATCTCTCCCAGCACTGACACGCTCCTAGACAGAGTCTGATTATGGTCAGCCCTTCCTGATTTCCAAGAAACATGCAGCACAGCAGGAAGAAAATAATGGGCTAAAATGCTGCGCTGCATGACAAAAAACATCCCTTTCATCTGACAGCGTCTCTGAAGCAGAGTAAAATGAACCTATTTTTAGCTTTCCTTTTTACAATACTCAAGGCGAATTGAATGTAAATTGACACTGTCCTGCCCCTGACATAAAAAATGTACTTAAACTGTTTGAAAAACAACATCACCTCATTAGAGATAGCAGTCATTAGGGATGTGTTTACCTTGGCATTCCAGTACAGCTATATTTACCCAAAACAACATGATGGAATTTCTTTGTAAACTAAGAAACACAACAATCCTGATGCACACCTGTTCTTAAGGCACATGGGAAAGACTTTATCACTGTAAATGCAAACAGTAAATATATGTGTACTGGGAACGACAATTTAACAACATAAACAATAGATTGATGTTATAAAGTTAGCAGGATTTACTTATTTAATGTATTTAATTGACTAATTTTTATAAACATTAGTTTATATTTAATTAGTAACAGAATCAGAAATAGCTTTGATGCAAAACAGTGTTTAACACTGAGAAACTTGCTTTCGTTTTAAGTTCCCAGCTATTATTCTACACTGGGTATCAGTCTGCTGAAGAGCTGGTAGAGCTTGATTTCAAAGGCAAGACTGATTGGGTCGGCCTCATCAGGCTTTACCCAATAAGAGATAATTAACCACAGATGAGACACAAAGTGATACGCTAATTTTTTGTAATCCTGTAGTCCGTGAACAGTCTTGTTTTTTACAGCCATTTTAGATTTAGTCTTAGTCTTAATCTTCAGAACGACAACTATTATTAGTCTTAGTCACCTTTTAGTCATTACGATATGTGAAAGTTTTAGTTGGTTCTAGTCAACTAAAACTTAAAAAGATTTTTGTCAGTTTTATGTTGCAAAAAAAAAGTTAACTTTTACAATTTCAAATAACAACCAGATTCTTTACCAGACTGACGGCTCTCCAATAGCTTGATATAGAATGCTGCTGTGCAGTTCATCATTGCAGTTGGGTAGAAAACTTTGAGTTATAAAATTCAAAAAAATGTTTTCATGAATTAAAAAAAAAAGTGTCTCACAAAAGCTGTGAAAAAAGCAAATCTATTTCAACACTTCATATTGGTTAATATAGCAGACAGACAGTCTGACATGTACAATAAAGGAATGTTTTAGACATACAAGGTTTCCATCGTAAAGCAAATACTTCCTGATCTACTATGAATTATGCATCACACACAGATCAATAAAATTACTCCAAAAGAAGCAAAGAACAAAAAAAAAAAAAAAAAATACTTCTTTCTAATTTGGCAATTTTGGCTTTATTTCTTCAATTTACACCTAAGTTGCTGTTGCTCAGGGGTCGGAGTAGATTTACATTTACAGGGTTTTGATTTTAAAAAATGAAATAAAATAGAGAGAACCTACATAATTGCCTTGTAATGCCATACAACAAATTACCTAATTGAATGAATATGTTAACTAAAATGTTAAAATATTTAAAGGAAACAGAGAAAATGTTTTATCGACAATACAAGGAATCATTTATATCGTATTTGAATAGATAAAAATGAGAACAATGAGAGAGAAATATTTAAAGATCTATGTACCTTTTCACTTGGCTCTTTATTCAAAAATAAACGGTATGCAATGAAATTTTTTCTTTGGGTATATAATTTAGGGATTCTTTTTGGTAGAAGTTAAAGAATGTTTAGCATCACCTTTTGTGAGCCGTAAGAAATAAAATCTTGATTGTTAGGTTAAGTTTTTTTTTTTACATTTGGCAGAGGATGATCAGCCACAAATAGTTTATTAAGTAGCAAGAGCAGGAAGAGTCATACTGCTGAGAGCAAACCAGCAGTTTGGAGAGAGAAAAGAGCAGACTCTGAGCTATGCTTGCTCGCGCAACGATGCATTTCTGCACAAACACGGCTGGAAGAACAGTTTGTCAGAGTTTAGCGCGCAGTGCCAGTGTTCTGTCAGACACCCACAACATTCTGGATTATCACACCCAGAACTCCCAAGTTTATGTCAACAAAGATCAACGTTTAGCTCATCAGTTCTCATTATCATCATGAAAACTTGCGTCAACCAAATAATTCTGTTGTCGTCATTGTTGATGAAAAAAACAACTCCGTGAAACATGTCAAGCTGCGGAAGAAACCATGCAGTGAACGCTTTCTGGCGCATTTGCTGTCGTTGGGGTTTTAGTGTGAGGTAATTTCACTCGCCATCTGAGTTTTGACTGAAGCAACTCTGTAATTGGTTAAAGGAAGTCGTTAAAGTCGTCCCTGCTTGTACGTGCTGGCCCCCTCTCAGTTTAGTATTGTAACAGATGAGGAATTAATAAAACATATTTCCTATTAGAAATGAATTAGAATGTAACCATTTTGGAGCCATCATAATTCAGTAGTAATAAACACTATAGCTTTATTCAACCGGAAATAGGTAGTAACATTTTGTTGGTAAAAATCTAATACATTTGGAAAGCTCTTCTCATTATAATGTATTGCATTAGTCTTCCAGAGCTGCATGCTACTACAGTTACCACTAGAGGGAGACAGTGTACCATTATTAACAGACATGGGTTTGAAAACAGAAAACCATGTGAAGAGGGAACAACAGAAATGTCTAGAAAACTCAGAGTGTGGACATGTGGATTGATACTACTAGTACTGAAGACAAGATCTATCTATCTATCTATCTATCTATCTATCTATCTATCTATCTATCTGCTTTTTATATTTTTTATTTGTTAAAACAAAGTTAAGAATTGTGTAGAAAATAGAAAGATTAAGTATGAATGTACTTTTTGTTGTTGTTTTTTTTACATTTCTTCTTATTTTTATGTGTGACCAATAGGCTGGCCTGTTTGTCCTCCCACCATCTGGCCTGTTTAGCTGGTCAGCAGCCCTGATTGTGGACTGAGGTGAAGCCATCTTCGGCCAGATGGATTTTTTATCGGTCACGCGTACACCATGAATTACGGTACCAAAGCTGGCATGGACTTTTCAAAATAAAAACAAGTTTAACCTTTGTTATCTAAATTTTGTCATCATTTACATCCCTCTGGTCTCTAAAATTATTTTGTATGTAAGTCTGTGAATATGTATATATCGGAATGACTTTAATCCTTTTTTTTTGTTTAGATAGTATTTTACATGGTTAATTTGTGAACTTTATTTCAGAAAGACCATTTTTTTTTTACATAAGTTTCAGTTGCTGTTAAAATATTGTTTCCAGTTGCTGATTTCACTTCAGGGTGATAGTAGAGCACTCCTAGGTGTTGCTAATTTGTGTATGTGTGAATTCCTATCACTCTATGCAATTTACAACAAGTTAAGGTACTGGAAAAGCTTGGAAATTGACCTTGAAAGTCCTTGAACAGTACTTGAATTTGACCACACAAAAAGTATAGATACCCTGTTGTAGGAATAACAACCAGTTACCACATCCACCACACAATAAATAAAGGGGAAGCAAATGAGAGGAACAACACCACATACTATTAGAAATAGGGACTGTGCCTATCTCCAGCTGTCTACGGGCGAGAGCCTCGGTCACTGGTCCATCACACTGCAACACAGAGAACAAACAACCATTCACACATACAGTCACACCTAAGGAGAACTTCAAGAAGCCAATTAACCTAAGTCATGTTTTTGGACTGTGGGAGGAAGCTGGAGTACCCGGAGAGAACCCACTCATGCACAGGGAAAACATGCAAACTCCATGCAGAAAGACTGCAGGCCGGGAATTGAATCTGGAACCATCTTGCTGCAAGGCAGCAGTGCTCACACTGCGTCACTACAGCCCTGTAAACCACTTAGAAAATAAAAAATACATTCGGATAATTCTGATATATCCATATCGACAGAAGCACGTGGGATTTATTTATTTATTTATTTTTTGGACTAGTTCTAGTTAATAATAATAAAATAATAATATTGAATGAAATAATAATATACCATGAAATAATTTTTTTTTTTTGTTTTATTTTGAAACAATCCAAGCCAATGTTTGGTACCGTATTTCATGGTGTATGTGCGAACTATAAAAAGCCGGTGAGGGCTGAGCACTTCAGTGATTTCTGCGGACCATTCATCCCACAGAGAGTGGGTGGAGTTTACGGGACCAATGAGGGGTCTTAACATGTGTGTCACCGGTAGACTGCCAATATTTGCTGCCCTGCTTGTGTTCTGAGCGGATCCAGGAGGAAACCTGTAAATGGACAGTAAAAGGAGACTGCGCTGATAGCTTTGAAAGACCCCACGCCCTGCTCCTCTCAGCCGGATCAGAGGATGGATGGAAACTTATGTCCGTTTGTGATCCTGTCTGCAGTCCTGATGTATAATGACTTTCTGCTCTCCTCAGCTGCCTTCCTGGAGCCTTTTGACCTGTTATATGATAACGCCGTCCAGGCTTTCCACAGCAGCGACCACCAGAGCGTGGTGCGCTACATGGAGGCAGCGCTCAGCAGCAACAGAGAAGCGCGGCGCACCAGGGTCCGCTGCCGGCTGAAGTGCCAGGACCAGCACTCGTTTGATGAAACCTTCTCAGACCTGCGCTTCTTTGACGTGGTTCTGCGCCGGGCTGCCTGCATGAATGCATGCATTGAGGCCAAACTGGGCACCCAGTCTATGCATAAGGTCAGCGATGAGGTCATACAAGACTTCAACAGGAGGATTCCCTATAACTATCTCCAGCTGGCTTATCAGAAGGTAAGGAGGAGAGCTGAGCATGCTCTCAATGGGACTTATTGTTTTCCTGCATCACATCATTCTTTCACTGGAACATGAATAGATTATGCACCTGAAATATATCTTCTGTTTTAACTTTGCCACAGTTTTAAGATTCTTAAAAAAACACATTATCATTTTAAAAAAAATCTTACTTGAGTAGATAAAAAACAGTTTAAAGTAGCTTTCAAGTTATTTCATCCATCAAGAATTAAACAGACTCCCTAGAATGAGTTCTTGGGTGTTTTAGTTTTTCTGGGCTTTTATTTTCGATCTTGTGAATGGATCTGAAAAAAGTGTAAGATTAAATAAATGAAATAGTAAATTATAAAAAATTAGAACAACAAAAGTAAATAACCCCACTTTGTCTAGTTATGATTTAAGCTTTATAAAACAACTTTTAAGTTATTATTATAACTGTTAACCCTTTATAGGGCACTCAGTGTAATACTATTAAACTTCAAGCCAATAATGTTATTAGGCCCGAGCAGCGAAGCACTGCGAAGGCCTATTGTATTTGGAATTACCATTGCACACTGCAAAAAGCAATCTAGAAATTAGTAAAAAGTTTCTTAAATTAAGTATATTTACTCTTAATTTGACTCTATAAATAGAAGATTTGCCAATGGAATGAGTGGTTTTACTCTTAGAATAAGATAAATAGATAAAATGCACTTGAAATAAGACAATGCAATTGTTCTTATTTGAAATGTAAATTGTCTTGTTCCATTGGCAAAGTGTCTCACTTGCCTCCTCAATTTAAGAAAAAATGTAATTATTTTTAAGAAAAAAAATTCTTATTTATATTTCAATTTTTTGCAGTGTAACATTTTTAAAATATGGATATTTTGATGGCAAAAATGAATGGAAATGTGATAGCAAGAAACGCCAACTTGCCCAAACATATATTAAGAAAAATAGCAAAAGTGCTTTTATAAGAAATTCATGAAAAACACTCTGAGAGTGAAGGAAACATATATATGCAACTCTATATGCAAGGTTGATCAAAAATGGTAACTTGCCCTATAAAGTGTTAAATGTCACCTGCCATATCCAGACGGTTGCCAGAAGTTTCCTGCTCCCTCAACAATTCACACCCAGACCTTGCATGATATCATCAAGTTGGCTAAAATAAGTCTTAAAAGAACTGATGGACAGATCAGTAACAAAGCCGCCCACAGTTAAAGTCATCATTATTGAATGGAGTATCTATGAAACAGGGGGAAGCCTTATCCTTAGTGACTACTAAAAGTAAACCAAGTGTGCTTCTACTTATGAGATAATACTATCATCTAAAGCGCTGCATAACTTACTTTCTTCAGTTAGGGTCATTGTTCATGGTTTACAGATAGAGATTGGGCAAAAAACGTCCTTCAAGGGGGAGTTCAAGGACGTAAACCACAGCTGTCTTTAAGGAACACAGAAGTCTATCTAATACTTGTCAAACAAGACGCCTAGCATTATTTGAAAGTGTTTTTAAGTCATGAAAACGTGAGCACTTTTGTAAGATGTGGCATTGTATATCTGACAAAGAACACAACATCTTATAGTAAACTATATCAGACGATTGGTCAAACATGGTGGAGGTAGTGTCATGATCAGGGGCTGTTTTGTCATTTTAGAAATGGGAAGATCTGCTGTGGTTAATGAAGCCATGATGTTTGCAGTCAGAAACAAACACCTTGAAAAAAAGCTAAACAACAACAACAAACAAACAAACAAGAAACAATCCTATGTGGTGGTTTTGGAGAGGCCTAGCAAAGTATGGACTTAAATCAGATAGATACACAATGGCCTGACATTATGCAGGGTATTAATGGACTGAATAAAAACATTGTTGCATGAGGGAGTAGCCCCCATTAATTCACAATGATATAAAACACTCAGTTCCATTTATACCTTTCACATGGAAAGTTGGTTACTGTAAGGAAAAAAAATGATTCAAAAAAATTTTTTTTTTAATTCACTCTGTGTTGTCGAATACAAGGAAATGTTATAAAATCAAGATTTTCAGGAATGGAAAAAGGCAATGAACTAGAGAACCTGGTAGGACAATCCTTTCCACAGCATTTAGCTTTAATCTGTTCTTAAAACACATTGAACACATTTAAACCTAATGAAAAACAGAGCTCTAATTAGCTCAGTGAATGAAGTTATTACAGACTCTCTATAATGTAACACTTTATACACTTGCTGCACTGCTCCTCATTTACTCTGTTATTTTGGAGCCAATGTTTGTCTGCTTTCTTTGTCTGTTTTTCATTCCTCAGCTCAAACCACAGTCAGCTGATTGTTCTCTTCTCACATGCAGTTCCAAAACAAAGCTTACGACGAAGGGCACTATGTTTGGGCTTTTGTTGTGCTCAAGCCGTGGGAACAATTTGGGACAGATAAGACAGGAGAACGTGGAATCAAATACTATTGGAGTTATTTTTTTTTATCACTAGTATGTAAATCATTTTGTGGTGGATTTGTCCCCATATTGTTTACTCAGAACACACATAGTTTCATACCTTAATGCTGCCTGTCTGCAAGTGGTTTCATGTAGAAATAGCTCATTTGGTTAATTGCAGGTTTTTGTTTGCATGTTTTTGTGGGTAAGAAAGAAAATGTTTCTGTAGTTTTTTACCCCCCAAACCAACCTGTGTCGATGGAGAGGAGCCAAAATATCTGCTTCAGCCTCAGGTCAACTAAATGACCACTCAGAGTGACACAGTGGAACATTTACACAGCATGTGAGGAATTAACTAAAGCCACTCAGGTGGCATTTTTACCTACTTGGAGCTCAGCTGAAAAGCTGGCATCCTTTTCCTTGTATGCATCTGAGACCCAGACAACTTCCCCTAACTGCTTGCTTTGGATCGCACCCACTGGCTGGGCATATGACAAACAGCCTACACTTCTCAGAAAGTCTAACATACTGCTAACAAAGTCCTGTTATTGTTTATAGGGGAATATATTCTTCCCTTTTCTGAAAAGTAAACAGAATATTAAAAGATGAGCTAACAAGCCATAAAATTCAGTTCTCCCTGATGTCTAGACTTGTGGATAGTCATGTCCAAAGGCCTATCCAGCTGTTAAAGTATGACTAATCATCTGTAAAAAAAAAAAATAAAAAAAGGATATGATTTCTTTAACATCTGTTTTGCAAAAAGATTATTTGATGTTGGAGCAGACTGTTTTGAGTCCCCTGGGCTCATGTCTTTATGAGCTATGGAGATGCAAGTATGTTGATGCTTACAGCACTTGGATCCCATCAGGGACATGTTCTCTACGTCTTCAGCTGATCCGTGCTAACACACCAAACTAACCTGG